TTTTGGAGCTTTTTGTCCAATATTCTATTTTTTAGAGTATTTTGGGCCTTAACGTTTTATTTTAAGGCAAAAGACCCTTAACATTTGATTAAATATTCACTGTAGATGTTATAATTTTGGAACTATTTGACCCAACGTTTCAATTTAGGGTAGAAATATGAAAATTCCTATTTTAGATTGTTTATTGACTAATGATTTAATCCACAAACTAGTATTTTTTATCTCAAAATAAAACGTTAAAAGTAGAGTTCTAAAAAAATAAAGATCAAAATGATTATTTAATCAAATATTTTGGAGTGTTTTTGCCAATATGTCATTTTTAAAAGAGATACAATTCTTGTTTAAAAACTACAATTAATCACACGAATTGAGTGGCCTCAATGATAAGTGAATTGTTGTTATTTTTTAAACATATATTACCTTTTAGTTACCCCATATTAATAAAAAAAATTACCATTGGTCCGCCGATAGGCTAACTTACACATGTAATAGCAACATGCAAATTAAAATTAGTGAACAAATATTTTGCATAATCAATTTACAGACACACTTTTCTCTTGCAAAACACAAATCCCAACATGAAAACAGAACAACCCGAGGCAAGTTTATAACAATAAATTTCAAGTAAATGGGATGTCTTTTTTTCCCCTTTCCCTCGTCTATATGCGTAGTTTGTTAGAAATTTATTGAATGATGCACATTTTCTAGCGAGGAAGAAGACAAAGGAAGACATAAAGGCAACGGTAGAAACTCACAGTGAATTATTATTATATTTAAAATTTTTTATTATTTCCCTCTAACAATAAAGAAGAAAGGTGAAGATGGCAGACATAAGTTATGTTTGTATTTTATTGTATCGTTAGCTAGCATTGGTCTCTATTCACCCATAAAATCTAACCCACCTAACTTCCATCTCTCTTTTACAGGCATAAAAAAGAAAGGTAAAGATGGCAGACATAAGTTATGTTTGTATTTTATTGTATCTATAGACAAATGTAAAATTTTATGTTAAGATTTTAATTTGGAGATATACATAGAATTTTATATTAAAATTTTAATAGTATGTACTAAATTATTAGAAGATGAAAATAAATTATCAATAAAAATATATATAAAAAAAACTTAAATCATTTGAAATTTTCAAGATGCTTCATCAATTCATTCCTGATCATATCATAATAATATTTAAAATATTTTAATTTTATATAAATAATGTATTAATGTATATCTAAAATGAACAACTTGATATAAACGATTTTTTTTTTTACATTTTCATTTGTGAAATAATGGTAGATTCACATTATTTAAAACCAGACGAGGACAGTTTCTTTGTATATATTCATTTAGTAGTTTTTGAATTCAAATTTTTATATAAAGTATTGTGTTTGTATAACTAATATTTTGATATAACAAATAAGGGTAAAATGTTTTTGGACAAAACTGAATTTATTCAAACTTTTAATCAAAATAATTAAAAGTCCAATCAAAACCTTAAAATGAGATTTTGACCACAAGTTTCGAAACTTTCCAAGACAGTTTCTCAAAACGTTTCGATACTTTCCTATAGTTTTGAACCTATCTCAAGAGTTTCGAAACTTTCATTAAAGTTTCGATACTTTGGCTCCGACAGTCAGATTTTTCAAACGGCTCTTTCAAAGAGTTTCAAAACTTTCCAGAGTTTCGAAACTTTGTGTACAGAAAGTCTTCCAACGGCTCCAAACCTTTGCAAACGGCTAGAAACGGATAGTAACTCATTTCAACATATAAAAAAAGTTCAAGACAAGTGAAGAAGGTGACACAACACCTATCCAAACAATTAAACACAAGAGAAGAGTTTCTCATTCTTATTTTTCTTTCTCTTGTAAATAGTGTGTGTTTTAGTGACCTTAATTTCGTAAACACCTTCCTTTTGAGAGGTTTCTTCTTTACACTTTCTTATCCTTTTGTAAAGGGGTTTTGGTTCTAGTTTACTCAAGTAAAAAAGTAGGGAGTTGTAAAGGTCATCTCTTTATCCTTGAAAAGGAAAGAACAAATTAGTGGATTTGTTGGAAAATCCTAAGTGGGGAGCTTAAGTAGTGGATGTAAGACTTCATTGAGGAAGTTGAGCCACTACAAATCATTGTGCAAATTTTGCTATCTTTATACTTCTTACTCCCTAAATTTGAAAAAGTCAATTCACCCCCTCTTGGCAAATTTCAGTTGATCAAACGAGCTTCATCGAGCCTAACAATTGGTATTAGAGCGGGTCATAAATCAAAGGTCTAACAACCTTGTGAATATTCTTAAAGGCTCCAATCAATTTCCTAAAGCAACCAAGAAAATGGCTTCCACCTTCGGCTCATTTTACATGGAAGCCTCCTAACCGATCGATAAGCCTCCATACTTCAATGGAGCTAACTACCGTCATTGGAAGAAATTAATGAAGCTATTTATCCTATCCTATGATCTTGACGCATGAAAAATGATCGAGAATGGATACTCTTCTCCAACGAAGAAGACGAAGAAGTGGAGTGACCAAGAACGAAAGAACGCCCAACAAAATGTCAAGGCCATGCACATGTTGTTTTGTGCATTTGATCCCTATGTCTGTGAAGGCATTTCATCTTATTCAAATGCCAAGGAGTTTTGGAATAAGCTCGAACAACTTCATGGTGACAAGAAAGAAGAACCACCAAAGGTAGTGTGCTTAATGGCTCTTGAAGAGCCTAAGGTGTCTTCTAACTCTAGTGAATCTAATCCATATTCTTTTAATAAGTTACAAGATGCATACAATAAATTATTTTGGAGTTTGAGACCACAAACTCCAAATACAAGAAAATGATTTCAAAATTTAAAGTTGAAAACGATTTTCTTTTGAAAGAGAAATTGGATTTTGAAAAACAAAATGAAATTTTGAAAAAATGATTTAGAGCTTTAAAAAGTAAAAATTGAAAATTTTGAAAAATGAATGCTTTGATTTAAAAGTTAAGCTTGATGTTTAAAAAAATAAATCATTTTAAATAATTCATCTAATTTTATAATGACAAAATGCTCACGTTGTCATTATCATGGTCATATAAAACATGTTTGTCCTTTAAAGAAAGGAAAACAATTTAAAATTAGACAAGTACGGGAACATGCATGTCCTTTAAAGAAATGAAAATAATTTAAAATTAGACAAGTACGGGTTCCTAAGGGAACTAAAGATATTTGAACTAACACTCAAGGATCCAAAGCAATTTGGACACCAAAATCCAAATAAATGTCTCTTGTAGGTGTGTGAGAGCAATTGTGACAAAAGTGAAGAAATTCAAATGCTCTAGCCACACAAGATGAAGAATGGGGAGAAGTATGAGTTTGAAAAATTAAATTTCATGAACAAAAAAGGGGGAGCTTTAATATTTTCCAAATAATTAACTTTTTCATTAAATGTTTTGATAAGGGGAGCTTTTGACAAAAACTATTTTTCAAAGGTTTTGTTATATCAAAAAGGGATATATTGTAGAACTAATATTTTGGTATAACAAATAAGGGCAAAATGTCTTTTGACTAAATTTAATTTATTCAAAGTTTTCATCAAAATAATTCTAAGTCCAATCAAAAACTTAAAATGAGTTTTTTGACCAGAAGTTTTGAAACTTCTACAAGAGTTTCGAAACTTTCCAATACAATTTCCCAAAACGTTTCGATACTTTCCTATAGTTTGAAAGTTTTGATACCTTGGCTCCAACGGTCAGATTTTTCAAACGGCTCTTTTAAAGAGTTTCGAAACTTTGTGTGCAGAAAGTCTTCCAACGAGCTTCATCGAACCTAACAGTGTTGTTGTTGTTTTTATTTATTTTTTTCTTTTTAATCATGAATGAGGGTGTGGCCTTAAAGTTGCCACATTTGTTCCCTAAGCCTCAGGTCCTATGACAGTAAGTTCCACCGCCGATCTTCATGAATATAGTTTGTTTTTAACCTATATGGATATAGTTATATATGCGTACGGATATACGATTTTATTTTATAAGTGTATATTTAAAAATTTAAGAGAATATAAAATTATAAAATTATAAAGATATAAAATAAAATTATTTATAAAAAAATTTAAAAAATAAAAATGTATATAAATTTAAATTTTTCACTGCACGCTAACACTCCTAATAAGACATTATTAAGCTTAATAGCCAACCATGAACAACAAAAGTTGTGTTTTTCACTTTTTATCTCTTCATACACGCATATATATACCATTAATATATATATATATACCATTAATTATCATTAAAATTAGACATAGATATAATATTTTATATTAAAGAATAAAAATTTATAAAATTTTAAAAAATAAAAATAAATTATCAATGTAAAATAAAAAAATTAAATTATATACTAATTTAAAATTTAAAATAACTAATTCTGGTCACTCTTTTGATCCATTCCTAACAAAGATCCCAAAAATTAAAAATTTCCTATCCTATATGAAATTGCCAACAATAAAAAGGAATTAATGCGGAGAAAAGAAGCATATACTATATATATGATAAAAAAATCCTTATGAATTATCTACATGTATATGATCATGTTTAGACTGGCGTTGAATAAAAAGAACCCATACCCTAAATCACTTTATCTATGCCTGTTTCAGGCAGACAACGTATAGATTTAGGCACAAGTGCGTGTATCTACAGGGATGTTCATCATGTGCAGATATAATATTGGCCAAATCCAAAACAATATTCTTCACACGTGTGAAAGTTTCTGAAACAGGAAACACACAATAGGTTGCCACTGTTACATGCTCTTGTAGCTTAAGGAATCGACAGAGAGAAGATCATAAATCTTGAAGATTTTTGAAGAGTTCAATGAAGAATTCGTAAATCATTTTCTGTACATGTAAAATCCAACAATTTTTTTTTAAAGAAAGATAAAGAACAAGTGAAAGATTTTTGTGCTAGCAACTATATATAATCGCCTCAATTTGCAGAACAAATATTTTAATTATTTTTATTGTTTAAATTTAAGTTAGTACTGAATTATTACAGACGTAGATCCAAACTCACATGGTCTTGCAATCTCGGCCTCGGTTCATAAACGTACCGGTCATGGGAAGTTGAGCCAACGCCACCGGCAACAATCTGCGACGGTGGCTTCAATACATCAACGGCAAACAAAGGCAACGGATGCGATGCTGATGAGAGTTCCCGACTGAAATTAGAGGAGTTATTTTGAAGCGTGGAAGGAATCCTCCACAGTCCCAGTGGGCTGCCATTGATGGCGGGGCTTTGGTTGCCATAAAACATAGTGTTCCATGAAGGGTAACTCAAAGCTGGCCCGTAGTTAGCGAGTCCATAAAGATGAGCCTTGGACAAAGAGCTGTGCTCCATTGCCGAGTGAAGGTGAGCTCTTTTGGCGTGTTGGCGCTCCCTTTTGTGTGCGTTCTGGTGACCACCTAAAGCTTGGGAGGTCGGAAAGTTTCTGCAACAGTAATGGCACTCGAATCTTCTGTTGTTTTCTCCATTATTCTCCTTGAACGTATCCTCCCCGACCGAGTCCAACTCACTACCACCATCACCACCACCACTGCCTCCGAATTCCTTGCCGAACAAACGAATACCCTTGTCTTTAAGAGGTGAGGGACGGATAAAAGGGAGCTGAGAGAAGGATTGGACGTTCATGAAGTCATGAATTTCCCTTTCGTCCTCCATGAGAAAGATGGGAAGCAAGAAGAGGTGGGTTTGTTTTTGGTTGGGACAGGGTGAGGAGGGGCTAAATGGACAAGACGATTGGAGCCATGGCCATGTGACCGGGTTTGGCACATTGGGTTGTCAAAGTACTCCCTTGGCTATATTCCACTTGATTTTGTGACTTGTTTCCGGAAACTTTTGCCACACTTCATACGACTCTCAATACTTATATATTTGATATACCTATGATTATTTAGACTAAGTATCTACCATCTCTCCAAAAATAATAACTATAAATACTTAATGAAGTAATAGTATTTTTTTTTATTAATCTGTGTAAGTATAAAACAGTATCTATTTAAAGATAATACTCAACCTTTCGACAATTAAAACTCTCACGCCCCTGTCATTTGTAAGCTCAAACCCGAGTTCTAAAGAATAATAGTAATTCTTTTACCACAGAGGCCGCTTAGTTCATGCAATGAAGTAATACTGAAATTGAGGGAAAATGAAATTGAGGGAAAATGAATGTTAGTAAAAGTTAGAGATTTAGGGATGCTATTAGATTAATTAAGAAAATAGGTATATTTTTACAGTGCGACGGCTGAAATCAATTTTAACAAAGTTGCCAATCCGCGATTTTGATTTAATATTTTTATTTTTGAGATCAAATTAAAACAAAAATATAAATACAAAGATTAAAATAAAATATTATAAAAATTACAATAAGAAGATGAAATGGTGATTTTCAAAAAATGCCCAAAAAAGATTTAACATTAATTTAATATTTTACTTTAATATTTTTACAAGTTGGTATTAAAATTTTAAAAAATAAAATTGTTTGTAATAGTCGATGACTTTTTAAAATTATTTTCATTTGTTAGTGATTTTTTTAAAATCATGGCTTAAGTATACAAAAGGTGTCTAACCTATGCTCTTTTTCTAGTTTAGTGTTTAACTTTTATTTCGTTTCAGTTTGGTATCTAACGTTTCATTCCGTGACTCAAAATGGATTAAGCCATGATGGACCATAAAGTTTAACCGTTAACACATTAAAAATGACACTTAACATATTTTTTACTACTAAAAAATGATTTATGAAAATAAAAAATTATTTTCCCAATAAAACCTTTAACTTTTTACCCCTTTAAAAATGTTTTACCCATTAACCCTAAATCAATTCCCTGTCTTCCCCTTCACTCTCTTCCCTTCTTTTCCATCAAACCAATTTCACCCCCTTTCTTTCTGTCCCTCCTTCCAATTTGGCTTTGGATATGAGTTTTCTCTCTCTCTCTCTTTCCCTCCAAACATTGTTTTCTCTTTCATTTACTTTGATCCAGCTGAAACTCATGATTTTTCTTTTTATTTGATTTTTTTATGATTGTATGTTTCGAAATTGAAATGGGAATGCTCATAAAGAAAGCATGAGAAAGAGCCCAATTGGTAGCAACAACAACAAGTTAAATGACGACGATTAGACTCAAGAAGAGCAGAGAAACAAACAAAGAAAATGATGAGAAGTAGTTGAAGTAAACGAAAAAGTTAAAGGGGGTAAAAAGTTAAAGGTTTTAATGGGGAATTAATTTCTTATTTTCATAAATTACTTTTTAGTATTAAAAATATGTTAAGTGTCATTTTTAATGGGTTAACGATCAAACTTAACGGTCCATCACGGCTTGACCCATTTCAAGTCACGGAATGAAACATTAGGCACCAAATTGGAATGAAATAAATGCTAGGCACTAAACTAGAAAAACAAACATAGGTTGGACACCTTTTGTATACTTAATCCTAAAATCATCTAATAAATACTTATAATATAAAATATAAAATTACAGATATTAAAACTTTAAATTTTAATATTAAAATAAAAAAGTTATGTAAAATAATTTATACATGTACATCATTGACTCTTATCGATTCTAACCCATGAGTCCTAATATAGACTGAACTAAAGCTCAGATACCACTAAATGTAACACCCTAATCCAATTCGACTCGAAATATGTCACACATAACCACCAAAGTGACTAACTATTTTTTAAAAAAATCAACCATTCAAAACATAGTTAAAAACATAATAACATCCAAATATAACATTGTTTACAAAATTAGGGAGCTCACGTCAATACATTCCAAGATAAGAGTTACAAATAGAGTATAAGAGTCTATGACGATGCATGCCCATTATAAATACTCGAGATATATTTTGGTACTCGACCTAGTCTAGAATTTGCAACTATGACGATGATCTCCTCGAACCGTCACCTAAGGACTTGTGTGCGAAAACACATTATGATCGTTAAGCTCACAAGCTCAGTGCCACACAAATAACACTACCATACTACATGTATTCAACAAATGAGCATTTACAAGTATAGTCATGAACAATTAGGTACATTGAATATACAACAGTACAAGCATCATGGTGTAGTTCGGTGTCATAATAACGTCACAGAACTCAAATAACTATTTGCTTACTAAAGGTACCTTAGGTAAGATCCGAGTCACGTAGCATCAGCATCTTACAAGTTCCTAGGGCAAGGTTTGGTCAATATCATCGACACCTTACCCGGGTAGTATACTACTCTATATACTTAGAACGTGTCTGAGTCACATAAAATCAGTACAACATTCAAATAGTGCTTTAAATACCCTTACACTAAATTAGATATATACGAATAATCCTTTACTCAACTAGACGATCGTCGCATACAAGTGATTTTGGTGTCCTCATTGTTACCCGAGCATCAAACAAGACATAAGTCTTATAGAATCTCACCTCATAAAAATCATATGTTATCACACAAATGTTAATGTTTCAACTTGAAAAGCTTTTAATAAGGTATTCACATTGATCCTAACCTCTTCTAGGGTCCTTTGATCAAAATAAGGTTTATAGCCTTTGTTGCCACCATGGTACCTATATTTATCCATATAGTATCGGTACTAGTTCTCACTATGGTATCAATACTACCCTGAGTATCGATATTGATTTGATTCATTGGAATTTGAGAAATCTCTTGGTATCGATACTCCTACTTGAAGTATCAATACCAAATTTCATTCGATATTTGTAATTATCCTGGTATTGATACCCCTACCTAGAGTATCGGTACATACCATATGGTATCGATACTACCCTAGGTATTGATAACAATTTAACTCACTAGAGATTTGGTATGGTCTCCTACTATCGATGAAAACCCTATGTATTGATACCATATGAATAGTATCGATACCCCAATAATAGGGTACCAATACTATCTCACAAACTCTTGATTTTTACCTACAGATGGATAATATCACTATTGTTCATATAATATCGATTCCCTAAACCCAAAAACCCATGTTTTTCATGAATTAAACTCTCAAAATTACTCCTCCCAATGTCTCCAAACGTTATATAAAGCTTATGTAGGTTAAAGGATCATAAAAGGTCATTTTTTATGCATAAACAACATTAAATACCCCATTTCATTTTATAAACCCAAATGCACCCAAATGCTTCATAGACACATACATGTAACAACACAACACATGTTATTCTACAAGCATTATAGAAGTGTAAAGGAGTGTGTTACCTTACTATTTATTGCTGGAGAAACAACCTCAAGCTCACCCAAGCATCACTTTCTCCTTGCACTTGACCTTGAAGCTTTCACCCACTTCTCTCACTAACAACAACAAATGGGTGAGTTATTAACTCATCTAAAAGTTTTAGGAGAGGTAAGAACACTATTTATAAGGGTTAAAAATTATTTACAACTTTTCCTAAGTTCTAAAATATAAAATCGTTCTAAAATCCCCACTTGGCTACCTGGCCAAACATCAAGATGAAGGGTTTGAATGGAATCTCTAAGGGAGATGATTACACATCTTACCTTTTTAATTTTGGAGTAGGGATAAATGACACAAAGCTTACTCCTTTGATCAAACTATAAGTGGAGAGGGAGAGAGTTTTGAAGGAAAAATGACGAATGTCGTGAAGAAAATAAGGGGAAAACTGATCTTTTTCCTAATTTCTTGCCTTTAAAACATTTTAGGGGTATATTACCCTTTTCATAACTAATTAGGCTCAACCCAAGATCAAATCCACCCACACTTGGACTAAGGCTTCCTATAATGCTATGAGGTTTAAGTAAACCCTCTCGGGTTAGCCCAAAACTACTAACTCCAAATTTGAGGCATTACAACTCTCCCCTTCTAAGAAGAAATTTCTTCATCAAAATTTACCTAAGTAGAACAGATGCAGATATTGGATTTGTATATCTTCCTTGGTCTCCCAAGTCACCTCTTTGGTACCATGGTTCCTCTATAAGACCTTCAATAATGAAATTTGCTTGTTCTCTAACTTTTTAACTTTTCAATCCAAATTTTTTATCAATTATTGTTTATAGGATATGTCTTGGCTTCGCTCAATTTGTTCTAACAAAATAATGTACGAAGGGTCAGAATGGTATCTCATGAGCACCGATACATGAAACACGTTGTGAATGTGCTTTATCTCTAGTAAAAAAGCTAACCGATAGGCCACAGGTCCAAGCCTCTTATGTACCTCATAAGGTTTGATAAAATGCGGAGTTATCTTTCTCTTACACCCAAATTTAAGCACTATCTTTCAATGTGGCACCTTAAGGAAAACCTTATCGCCTACCGTAAATCCTATATCACTATATTTCAAGTTTGCATACAACTTTTAACAATCAAAATCTTCCCTCAAATGACCTTGAATCAACCTAACTTGTTCTTCTGTTTCTTTAATCAAATTGGGACCGACCATGTTCCTCTCGCTAGGCTTTGTCCAACACAAATGAGTTCTACACTTTTGTCCATACAAAGCCTTATATGAAGCCATATGGATACTAAACTAGTAGTTATTATTGTAGGCAAACCCTACCAATGAAACATGATCTTCCCAACAACCTTATTATCTCATGAATTTGGGTACCTAAGGTTTCATGAAGTTCTTTCCAAAACCTATAAGTGAAGAATAGATCTTGGTCCAAAATGATCGACATTGGTACTCCATTCAACCTTATTATCTCATGAATTTACAAT